TCACAGGAACCCTCCTCCCTTCACTTTCTCCCTTCCTCTCTCCCTGCTTCCATCTCCCACTCACTCTCTCCCTCCCTCCCAGACTCCCTCTTTTCATCTCTCCCTCCTCATATCCCTCCCCCACATCCCGACGGTAGTGTAGCTGTTCCCAGGGAGACCAAGACCCTCCAAGACTCACACTGCATCTCGCCGCGTGTTCTTGTCGTGTTCTAAGTTTTGTGTCCACGTCTCTGGGTCATTGTTTGGGTTTCATAAAAAAACATCTAACGATCGCGCACTCAATGCTTTCACAGCCCCGTGAAAATCTCTAACATGCATGCTGTAGTCATCATCACGATGATGAAGACAGGAAGACACGTGAACACAAATGCACAGAGATGTTTACACACAAACTAATATACACAGAGAAACACAGGCACACACACACACAAAGCCATACACACAGAGAGCGACACAGCATATAGATATGATGTCTCTGTGTGAATGTGCCCAAACAGTCTTCTAAGGCTAAAGCATTGGATCTTTGTGTATATGTGTGTCTGTGTATATATATGTGGGGAGCGGTAGTTTCGCTGTTAGCACGCTGCGCTATGAACCCGGCGACCCGAGTTTCATTCTCGCTCACGGCCAACACCAGTGACGATTATCTGAACCATTCCTGGGCCTCCCCTAGGTCGAGTCAGCCTCAAATACCTGGTGTGGTGCGTAAACATCGCCACTTGGGAGACAAAGGCGGCCGGGTGTGGTATTGGCCACCCACCCCCTCGTATGTCATTCCGGCCTTCATTGGTGCTCACTAACAGCACTTGCCCCAAAAGTCTGGTAAGCCTATACAGGGGATCTTTGTCTTCATATGTGTGTCTAAAATTAAAAGTGGTGGAGCACAGGCAGTGCATCTGCCAGTCATTGCGGTTAACCCGTAACACCTGGACCTGCCTCATGATCTCAAACCAGCAGCAGCCTTCGCCACTCCATGAGGCCTCAAAGGGCACCGGGCCTGGCGCAAGCACTGAGGTCATGTCATCATCACTTTGTGCAAAAATTGTGGCTGTTGTTGGCTAACAATCACGGACCCAACACTTTTGTAGCCTCACAAGAACCTCACAAACGTGTTCAGTTTGTACGGTCGCCTACACAGAACCCGATAATGACGAAATGTAACAGAAGAAAGCGTCACTTGGGTTTTTTCGTCGCTTCTAAATGTCTATCCCCACGTCTGCTATGACTGTGTTGAGCCTGCAAACCCGTCACCATGGAACGTGCCCATACACCCGTAAGCGGATGCTGTAAGCGCACCTTATAAATTATTTTCGCAGTGGCGCGCAGCACAAAATGACAGCCTCGCCATTTAAATGGCTTACACCCCCGTGTCCCATTGGTGAGTTGTCACGCTGTAACAGCTCACACGTTCAAACGCGAGCTTGGACCCGTGCCACATGCAGGCCCTTCAGCGCACACGCCGGACTGGTGGGACGTGAGTGGTACACACCAGACTGGTGGGGCGTGAGTGGTACACACCGGACTGGTGGGACGTGAGTGGTACACACCAGACTGGTGGGACGTGAGTGGTACACACCAGACTGGTGGGACGTGAGTGGTACACACCGGACTGGTGGGACGTGAGTGGTACACACCGGATTGGTGGGACGTGAGTGGTACACACCGGACTGGTGGGGCGTGAGTGGTACACACCGGATTGGTGGGACGTGAGTGGTATACACCAGACTGGTGGGACGTGAGTGGTACACACTGGACTGGTGGGACGTGAGTGGTACACACCGGACTGGTGGGACGTGAGTGGTACACACCGGACTGGTGGGACGTGAGTGGTATACGCCGATTGGTGGGGCGTGAGTGGTACACACCAGATTGGTGGGACGTGAGTGGTACACACCGGACTGGTGGGACGTGAGTGGTACACACCGGACTGGTGGGACGTGAGTGGTATACACCAGACTGGTGGGGCGTGAGTGGTACACTCCAGACTGGTGGGACGTGAGTGGTACACACCGGACTGGTGGGACGTGAGTGGTATACGCCGATTGGTGGGGCGTGAGTGGTACACACCGGACTGGTGGGGCGTGAGTGGTACACACCGGACTGGTGGGACGTGAGTGGTATACACCAGACTGGTGGGGCGTGAGTGGTACACTCCAGACTGGTGGGACGTGAGTGGTACACACCGGACTGGTGGGGCGTGAGTGGTACACACCGGACTGGTGGGACGTGAGTGGTACACACCGGACTGGTGGGACGTGAGTGGTACACACCGGATTGGTGGGACGTGAGTGGTACACACCGGACTGGTGGGACGTGAGTGGTACACACCGGACTGGTGGGACGTGAGTGGTACACACCGGATTGGTGGGACGTGAGTGGTACACGCCGGATTGGTGGGACGTGAGTGGTATACGCCGGGCTGGTGGGACGTGAGTGGTACACACCGGACTGGTGGGACGTGAGTGGTACACACCGGACTGGTGGGACGTGAGTGGTACACACCGGACTGGTGGGACGTGAGTGGTACATGCCGGATTGGTGGGACGTGAGTGGTACACGCCGGATTGGTGGGACGTGAGTGGTATACGCCGATTAGTGGAGTGCCATGAAGGGCTCAAACCCCACGGAATTCCAGGGGAGACTTGGTGGGGTTCAGTTAGAGAGCTCCTTTTGGCGGGATTAAGGGAATGGTTGGTGAAGGGGATAGCATCGGTTGAGGAGGTTCGACAAGGCTGGGGTATGAGGATTGGGGTTAACAGGATAACAGATAACAGGTAATAGATAACAGATAAAAGTTTCGATTTAACGCTTTCGTGACTGCAGGGATTCATCTTCTTGGTTCTTTCGGTAAAGTCACGTAGAATGGAAATAAAATAATAAAAATAAAACATAATAAAATAAAATTATCACGACGTTTCGGCCACAACACAAGTAGCCTTCTTCAGGTGAAGGAACAGAACTGTCGGGACGACAGCGCTTCAATGAACACTGCTAAGCTTCGCAGCGTCTTTTAAGCTGGGTGGGAGGAGCAGGGTGCCTTGACAAAGGAGTTTACATATCAATGCTAAATTCTTCTGTTGATATGTAAACTCCTTTGTCAAGGTGCTCTGCTCCTCCCACCCAGCTTAAAAGACGCTACGAAGCTTAGCAGTGTTCTTTGACGTGCTCTCGTCCCGACAGTTCTGTTCCTTCACCTGAAGAAGGCTACTTGTGTTGTGGCCGAAACGTCGTGAGAATTTTATTTTATTATATTTTATTTTTATTATTTTATTTCTATTCTACGTGACTTTACCGAAAGAACCAAGAAGATGAACAGATAAAATGATATGAGGGTTGGGGTAACGAGATCTCAGCGTTCACTCTGATCTGTACTCCACGTGCGTCGTGTTGCTGGCTACAATAAAAGCCATTCGGTAACTGCACGTTAGAGTCCTCCTTTTTCATATCTATAAATACACCGTCACGGGCCCAACTAAAAAGGAGTGTCTTTTAATAATGGAACACGTTCAAAAATGCGATTTAAATAATAGAGCGAAAATACTTGTTTGATTTTGTATCAAGATGCAAGATGAAAGAGATGTGATCCCAAGTTTTACGGCTCACAGACTATAACCAGCATCATCATCATCATCACCAGCATCATTGTCACCACCAGAAATCGAGAATACACATATAATAATACAGAATAAACACAGAATATACACAGAATATACCCAGAATATACACAGAATACACACAGAATAATACTAAATAAACACATAATACACACAGAATACACACGGAATACACACAGAATTTACACAGAATACACACGGAATATACACGGAATATACGCAGAATACACTTTCGCCGATTGTCGCTGCAGAGATTCACGGTTTGAATCCAGCGGCCGCCCTGGATAATACTCTGATGTGCGGAGTAGCGTGGGAAAAAAATACTACGCGACATCTGCAACACAGTGGGCGGTAAAGTTCCCCTGACCTCATTCGCGAGAGCAGGCCATTGTGTGCCGGCGTCAGGGTTCCTCATTTGGCAAATGTGGACCCTGACGCCGCTAATTACTCAATTTGGATTACGCACACACACACACAGCGGTAATCATGGCCCCCTACTGGCAGACTAATGCCGCAGGTCACTTTTACAAATTGCAACATATTTCGGTCTCTTGAGTTCTCACCTGGTTACACTAAATACATTTGAGGATTATCATGCCAACGTACGAAGAAGTGCCCATTTGCATCGCATTAAGCAGTGCAGAAAGCGACGTCACCCAACTACTTTTGAAGTCCCTTCAGCGGGCCTCTTGGTGAAGCACGTATTATATGCCCCGCGAAGAGTGTTCAATCAAACTACCCGCCGATGAAACTGAACATTTGCAATTATTCTCGGAGCTGCAAAAAAAAAAGCCAAAGTGAAGATTCTGAAATGTATCGTGATGGTTTTTTTGTGTGGTCACCGGTGATCATGCTGAGACAAACAACAACAATAACCTTTATTATGAACAACAATAACATTAGTAATACTCTGCATTTATCCAGAAAAACCTCAGACTGCCTTTCAGGAGGGTCCTGCATCAGGATATTTGGCCAATTCAAAGCAACTCACCACACGTGATTATCCAGCCGAATCACGGGCAGGTGAAAATAGAACGCGGAGTCAAACCCAGGTTCTCAACGAACGATGCCAGCTCTGATTATGGCCATGATGAACTCTGTGAGACAGCCAGTCGCTTGCATGAATGACAATTTTTAGTTTCACTATCTTTAGTTTTCAATGGCTACTCTCTCTCAATAAAACACATTCACCCTCTCCGACTCACACCAATCCACTCACCTCCACTCAACCACTCCATCACACACTCCCTACTCACCTCTACTCACCACACTCCCTACTCACCTCCCCTCACCACTCCATCACACACTCCCTACTCCCCTCACCCCACCACACCAACACCCCCTCCCCCCCTCACCACACCATACCCATGCAAAAGGAGAACTCACCCAACACCCACAGCTCCATCTTGACCTCGTTGTCGCCGGTCAGGTCCGTGTTGGACACCACAGAGCACAAGTAGAAGCCCCCGTCGCCCCACTCCGTTTGGCCGAAGTACAGATCGGCGTCTTCATCGAACGACAGGAGAGCGAGGGAGAGAGGCAGGGAGAGAGCAGCGAGTGTTAGTTAACAGTATAAGCGTTAGCGAGTGGTGGCGCAGTGGTTAGCGCGCTGCGACATGAGCCCAACGACCCAAGTTCAATTCCAGTTCACGGCCACCAACACCAGTGACGATTATCTCAATCGATCCTGGGACTACCCGAAGTCGACGCAGCCTTAATTGAGCACCTGGTGCGATGTGTATTCAACACCACTAAGGAGACAAAGGCGGCTGGGTGTGGTGCTGGCCACCCACCCCCCTAGTGTGCCGTGTCGGCCTTCAGAGGTGCTCGCTAACAGCACTTGCTCCAACAGTCTGTTCAGGCTACACGGGGGGACCTTTGTCCTTGAAGCGTTTAGAAAAGGAGAGTGCGTGAGAGAGCGCTGGACGGTAGAGTTTGGAGGGTGAACATGTGAGCGAGCGAGAGAGTGTGAGTGTTGTAAAGAAAGTAGTTGTGTGGGAGAGTGGAGGAGGAGTGTTAGAGAAGAGTGAGTGAGATTAAGGAAGTGCTCGTGAGTGACAGGCATGTGAGAGAGTGAAAGTGTAAGAGAGGTAGACATGAGTGAGGGATCATGGGTGTGTGATGGTGAGACAGGAGAGAGAGAGTGTGCGGGAGAGTGGCAGTTTTAGACAAATGTGGCCGGGCTTGGTACCGACCCCACGTTTGGCATGCCGGCCTTCGTCCATTCATCGCGCACAATCAGCGAAGGACCGTTGCGCCAAACGTTTGACCTCTTGCAACGGCATTCACATAAACTGTTCTTGCCGTCATACACCGGCGTCTCAATGAGTTTGTTTGATCCACGGACCACGCGGGAGGCGCCATTCCTTAGAGGGTCGTACTTGACCCGACTGTACTTTCGTGCCCTCGCCCAGTAAACATGGCACGTTGGGCTAACGTTGGTCCAACTAAACTGAAACTCTAAAAACTAAACTATTTTTTTAATTTCAGCACGTAAGGCCCCACTGAGCTGTTTCGCTCTTTTTCAGGAGGGACCAGGCCACAAATTATAGCTCGACATAGTGGCTTATCATCGTGTGGAAAATTATAGCAGCCAAATTACTCTAAACGCATGATGTTGATCCTCAATGTGGAGGGAAAAATCAGAGGACCTGCAAAAAAATCCACGCGACCATGGGGAGAGAGACACACAAACTCCAAATACACAACAGGCTTAAGGGTTGGGATCGAACCCACGACCTCCCGTATACCAGGCGGAGGTAGTTAACATCTCCTGGCCACCGTGGGCACCCGCCGTGGCGAAATGGTTCCAATCGATGGTTCCAAACGGTTGGAACCGGGCATGCGTTTGTTCATTCACCACCTCGCCCACGCTCTCCCGGGGCGAGCCGACCCACCGTTGACCACGGTGACGCTGCGCCTCTTGTAGTCGTCCCCCAGCGTCACGGCATTGCCGTGCTTCGTGGCCACGATGCGGACAGGGCGCGGCTCCTCGGGGCAGTCCACGTTCGAGTCGTAGCCGGGCAGCTTCGCCTCCGCGTAGTCGCTCGTGCCCTGGCTCGCCGGCCCCGCGAACAGCGCCGACAGCCGGTCCCGGCAGTACGGCTTGAACTTCCAGAGGACGATGGGAGGCTGCGAAGAGCCCCCCACCGCCGTGTAGTCGCAGCGGAGCGTGGCGGACGAGAAGAGCATGGCCACGTTCATCCGGCGCGGAGCGAACACCTGGACAGCCACGGCGGCACCTGCAGGGAGAGACTGCGTTATCGGTTCTCCGGGTCACTCGCCTCTTTGGAGTTATCCGAGGTTTGAAAGCATTGGATGCACTTTGCCGTCTGTCCGTCTGTCCATCTGTCCGTAACGCAGGGGGGCACGAGAACTCGAGCGAAGAGGATCCAATGTGAACGAAAACTTTAGCACTGTGTACAAATTGCGCTGCTCATATGGAGACAAAAAACAGCTGTAAGGAATTGCCCGGGGCGTCCGTGCCCTCGTGGTACCTGGAATGCGCCGATCTCGTCAGAGCTCGTAAGTCAAGCAGGTTTGAGCTTCAATAATGCTTTGATGGGTGACCACCATGCATTAAAACAGATGTTATAGGTTGCTGTGCGGCTACGCTGTGGGCACCAGAGGGTAATCTAACCAAATCCATTGTTGTCCTGTACTATGCTCTTTTTCTATGATCCCTGCCTTGACCAACCCACAATGACCAGCGTGAAGTATGGTAAAGAATAACACCACCACCCGCACAGCGTGGGCAGGTGTCATCCAGCAGTTGATTGGCAAAAGATAAATAATAATGCCACTTTGAATTGTACGTGAGCAGTTCCTGCCTCCCTGCCTCTATATGCTCCATTTCCCATACTCTCTCCCTGTCACATCCCTCCCTTCCTCACACAATCTCTCCCTCCCTCCCTCTGCCTCTCTCCTCCACTTTGCGTCATTCCTCCTTCAATTCCTCCCTCCTTTACTCTCTACCTCTCCTTCCTCTTTCAATCCTTGCTCCATGATCCTCCTTCCCTGCCTCCCTCCACTCCCTCCTTCCATCTCTCCCTCCCTTCCTCATTCCCTTCCTCCGTTCTCCATCCCTGCCCCCACCTTCCCTCCATCTCTCCCTCTGCGCACGTGAGCTCCCTTCTGCTCGAGCCAAGAATACGGCTATTATTACATCTTGGTCTATTATCATGCGAGATGCGTAACACAGGCATCTCACGGTCACCAATCCGAGCACGCCCTCCGCAAGCGCAGCCTCCGTCGTCAGACAGCGTCGAGGAAGACAGGCGCTCATCGTCTCCATCGGCGACGTTAAACGTGTTTGTGCAAATTCCACATTCCTGTGTCGAGGGCGGTCTGCCCCTCCCCCCCCCCAAAAAAAAAGTACGACCGCTCTTACAGATTCATAGAGCTGAGTTTCTCGTCATTGTCGCCGGCAGCCGCGGTCTAATTCACTGCACTGACCAGCGTTGGGACAAAGCGTGGTGAAGAACGGTCAAATAAACCCCCCGCCCGCCACCACGACCCCCAACAGCGTGGGGCAGGAGGCCCTCGTCCATACCGGCGGTGGATTGACAAAAAATAGGGCTTACACATTCTCTCAATCGCGCGCCTGCGCGTGCGTGTGTTCTCAGGCATTTTGTCCTCGTAATAATGATTTTTTTTTAAAACGTCCCGTTAGCCCAGTCTGGAGGTGGAGGAGATGACGGTGGAATGTGTGGCATGCGGATTGGGGAGGTGGTGGGGGGATTGTGGGGCCATGAGGTCACCACCCCCGTATCCAGTGCCGGATGAAGCTAGTGCAGGGACCTGTAGCATATGGTGTTATAAACGGGCCCTAAATATAAAAAAACACATAAAAGTATTCAAACACAATGTTTTTGTTTTACTTTCACAGTAAATTGTATTTGATTCGCTATACAGCCAGACAATACGACAAATCGCTAACCTTAAACACCCAGTCGTTCATAAAAGTTGAAGGCGGTGTAGTACTATAGTAATAGAGCAAGTGCAGAATCACTGAACCGGAATTGATAGCTCAAAAGCATTTAGCGCGGGGCCCTTAAAAGTGCGGGGCCCGTAGCTATATTTTTAGCTACTTTTGCTACTAGGAGAATCCGGCACTGCCCATATCAGCTTTTGTACTACCTTCATCTGCGGTTGGGGCCACGTGCTGTGAACGACCAAACTAATCAGGCCACCGCGGTGCAAGACGGGGTGAAGTGGTGAGGACCACGCCCGTCCGCCTTTGTCTCCCCAAGTCCTGATGATTTGACAAACTGTTCAGGGTACTCATTCAAGGCTGAGTCAACCTCGGGGAGGGGGGGGCTCGAAACCAGTTCCGATGTCTCTCACCCACAGATGGGATTGAATTTTGGTGGCCGGGTTCATAACGCAGCGAGTTAACCACGAACACCGCTGCTCCCCACAGACACAAAGATCCCGGTGTAGCCTTGACAGACTGTTGGAGCTGTTAGAATGAACCTATAAAGGCCGGTACGGCACACAAGGAGGTGGGTGGCCAAGCACCACTCCTGACCGCCTCTGTCTCCTCAGTGCTGATGTTTAAACACCACACCAATTGCTGATTTTGAGGCTGAGTCGACCGAGGGGAAGCCCAGAACTGGTTCAGATATTCGTCACTGATGCTGGCCGTGAGCGGGAATCGAACTCGGGCCACCGAATTTGTAGCGCAGAGCGCACACACACACACACACGTGTACATAACGACACAGAAAGAACCCTACATGGCTGTATGGACGTGTATATGTATGTTCAACTTCCTTTGTACGTAGCCAACCGTGTTGTTGGAGCAACTGCTGTGAGACATCGAGGTGGCGAGGTGTTAACTCCCTCGCCTGGTATACAGGAGGTCATGGGTTTGACCCCGACATTGACGCCTGCTGTGTATTTGGAGTTTGCGTGTCTCTCTTCCCAAAGTCGCGTGGATTTTTCTCCGGGTCCTCCGGTTCCTCTCCCTCCCCCCACATTTAGAATCAACATCACGCATTTAGAGTATTTGCCTGCTGATATAAATGTCCACGTGACAAGCCACTTCGTTGGGCTATCATTTGTGAAAGCCAGGTCGCTTCTGAGAAAGAGCTATACAGCTCAGTGGGCCTTACCTGGTAAAATCGAAATAAAAAGTTTGATAGGTTATAGTTTTAATAAGGCCAGGACGGCATTTCGTGAGGGGAAAATCGATGTTAGTTAAATGTTTTTTATTGTTCGCTTTTGAGGTAAAACCCTTTTTTTTGTCACCACAATGTTCAGATTTAGTAAATGTCATTGTTTACCCCATTTACCTTTTGATATATTTGAATCGTATTCGTTACAATTGTGATCATTTCAAATGTAATCAAAATAATAATTGTTTTTTAACACAACTTTAATTGTCAACAGGTGAAGGGACTCGTCCCTTCATCAGGTGAAGGGACTCGTCCCTTCACCTGATGAAGGCCGCTTGTGTTGTGGCCGAAACGTCGTGAGAATATTATTGTGTTATTTTATTTTATCAATTTATTATTTTATTCTCATTCTACGTGACTTTACCGAAAGAATCAAAGAAGATGAATCCTTGCAGTCACGAAAGCTTTAAATCGAAATTCAACTATTTTCATTCATTTAATTCATTTTAACAATACGGTCGTTATAAAAAAAATCCAATAACATTGTCCTTTGCTTCAATGAGTCTCAATATTATTTTAAAAATGCGTATTTCAGTAATAACATTATTTTAGGAGAAAAATCAATACCACCAAAGCCCTACAAGATCTGCACAGATGGATTCACAAGCCCACTTACAGCCTCCTGCCATCCTTTGGCGATCACCTCGTAAAATCAGTGGATGTGGACATTTCACAAATGTGGGTCCAAAGTACAGAGCTAGATTGGTGATCTAGAGCACTCGCTGAGCCACCACAGTCAGAGCTCAGTGAGTGACCTCCTTGTCACTGTTTTGTAACTACCACGGACGGTTACAATTCCCGCTGATTTCAATCGTTAATTCCTCGACCCGTGTTGAGCAATCGGCCTACCGGACTTCCTGTTTCATCTCATCCCTACTGGGCTCAACTAGCACACTCAAGGTCACCTCACTTCACTCTCTGATTCTTCCCTTGGCACTGCTACACTCTGGAATTCCCTCCCATCGTCTCTTTGCCCAAGTTCTTACAATAACCTTGCTCAATTAACGAAACGTCGTGGGCTCTTATCTATTCCAACTTTGATGGTTCTGTTTGTTGCTGGCTGTTTGGCGTTTTTTTCGGGCCTGTGATGACAAATACGTAGACTAAGGTGTTTTTTTATTTAACAAATTGATATTTACAATGTGATCCTGTGTGTACATGTGTCCCGATGTATCGACGGGTAATTATTAACAGTCTCGCGATACATGTACATCAAGCCGCGCGTGCGTAATAATCGATATTTACGCTTTTCGTACGTGATTATGTAATGGGTTTCCGACATCACGTGAACTATCAAGCCACTAGCTGTGCGACACTTAACTATCTATGTACTTTGTATCGTTGCGTGTGATATTTGTTGTATAAATGCTTAGTGTAATAAGCTAAGAGATTTAAAATGTGTGTACACACGTGTCATTATGTGTCTTCCTACGTGGTCACTTGATACCTTAGACACCCATGGATAATGTTTTATTTTTTACCTCAGTGGTTTACCTAATCAAATGTTCATTTAATGGAGAGAAAAAAACCCCCATTGAAAAACCAGAGGCTCTTCTTTGTGCAGTTTAAACCTCCTTCTCACCCCGAACAAGACATTACTGTGCTCTGAAGAAGGACTTTGCCAGAAACGTTGCCTGTTATACATTGATTTCTCTTTTAAGGCCACTGTTGTTATTGCCTAATGTGTTGAGTTTTGGTTGCTGTTTATTGTGCTTGTACGCCGCTGCTAACTCAGCAACGGCAGCCGCACCAAATAATTTGTTGAACAAGACAGAGGCTCACTTGGTGGACTGACTTGCCAGCGTTGTTCTAATAATGCCGCTGCCAAATCCATCAGCCGTGGAAATTACTGATTTGGTGCACTGTCCAAAAAAAACCCACGAGCATTCGGCTTTTTCGAGGGCTCGGAACTCCACAGGGCATCAACAGAGCCAGAGAGAGAGAGGAGGGAAACATTATTTTTTAAAACAAACAAACCAAGAAAGTGAATCATTGACACGGGATCATTGTTGCTTCTGTACTTGTGCACGTGGGAAAGCGAGGTGGGCTCGCTCACGTGCCTG